TCTAAGCTTAATACAAAGCATACGTCGTCGTATTGACTTACAGAACATAATAATAATGGCTGAATGTTCTTCTTAGTGAATAGGTGAGACTGGGGCATACTTGTGAGTGAAAAGGCATGAGCTTAAAGTGTTATAATAGCGAATGGTAGCGTTTGGTAACAGTACAAATACTTATCGACGGTATCGAATGGTTAAAGAGTCAGTTTTATTTTGGGGTCTTTAGTAAGAAATTTGAGGGACATTTACATGGATTTATTCATGGTATTAGTATGATAAAGTGAACACTAAATTAACAAGTCTGTAAGTTATGGATGATTACTTTCCAAAACGTCATTAGTCACACTGGTCAATTTACAGCCACATCATAATCTAAATCAGCCTCTCATTTATGTCACATAATATAATGTTTACTTTGTCTATTTCTGGTTTTGTTGTAATGCCCATATAAACAATTAGCATTGAATAAATCTTTCATTAACATTAAGGACATCTCAACTTAACTTAAAGCCTTGCGGCATTGCAATTCGCAACGCAACAGTTCTACAAAATAAGTAGTAGTAGAGCACAATTTTGAACATTGTTCCTTCATTAACAATATTAGTATTAAGATTCTTCATGCTACATAGTAATAACAAAAAATGACTTGCAACGCGAACAACAAAATACCCTGACACGTGCATAAACGAAGGAGGCGCATATTTCAGAACGCTAACGCAGTTCCCAGTGTCATGGATAAGCTCTAACGTCTATGTATTCCTGGCCTCGGGTTTCTTGGACGATACAGTTTCATCTTTGTTATCGATCTTCCTTCTCTTCGTTGTGCGGGTTTTACCAGTTTGTGTGCCATCACTATTAATTAAAACAGGAACTCCCTTACGTTTCTTTTCTAATCGTTGTAGTTTTCGCTTTTCCTTCCGATTTTTGGCCCGATTCTTAAATTTTTTCTCGAATTTCCTGTTATCAACGCCTTCAAGAAGTTTACCAAGTAGGATCTAGACTATTTCCTCGGTAAATTGAAGCACACTTACCATTAACTTCCAGTTCTTCTCTAATGGAATCAGGAAGAGTGGGTCCATTTTGCTTGTGTTTTTCAGAATTGTTTCGTGGCATTTGTGAACAACAAAAAATTTTAGATTATCCACAGATTAACCATATTTCTGAGCTGCGCCCAGTACTATACTAAATAGGCAATAAAATGTGATTAAAACATTGGTTTGTCGTAGTACAAACATTCTTACGTGCTTCAAGACACTGACTAGTTTTATTGAAACTGTCTTCTATTACCACTTAATTCAGTTCTTAATATGCTCTACGCTGCCGTAATCAATCATTGGGAAGTGTAGTTCCATGGCTATCAGATTATTTTCTGCTATCTATTGCTATAATAATAACGAGTTTGTTGTTGTATATTGTATTGAATTGATAATGTTAACTATATATGGTCCGGTGCAAAAAGATAGATACCTTGAAATTGATTGCTATCAAATCGTCTAGTTAAGACTTTAATAACTATAACTTTTTTTTTCAATTTTAGACAAGTGAATAACCATCTTTATATAGTACATCACTTAACTTGTTTGAAAATGTCTCTATTCTCGAGCCAGC